GGCTACCAAGCAAGCGTTTTGCATCATTCTCCTGCGCTTTATTTGCGATCAAATTCCATCGTTTCATTTGAGCTGTGGGCTTTAGCAATATTGAACACAACTGTTGTCAGTCAACATGTCGATTAAAGAGAAGCGTTTAAAAGGTATTTTCAGGGTTGATTAACTTATTAATGTCGCTGCATATACACAACATTAGATTTCGTCAACTTTACTGTGAACATATGCGAACAAAAGACCAACTATTTTTTAACAAGAGTTTTTTTTTTCTTTTTTTTCCAAAATCATGTTTGAAAGTTGGGGATGCGGCTTATACACGAGTTTTTTTTTAGTTTTTATACACGAGCATAGGTTGATGAGTACAGTTTTGGAGTTCTTTTCTGTGAAATTTACATCTGGGAACAACCAGAACCTGATACGCGTGACGAGCAAGTTGCCATGGTGAAAAATCGAACTCTGTGAGCTTTCATCCGGAGATGTCTGGAACGAGCTCCTGAAGCGAGGCCCAGCAGGGAAGACGATATCGGTGAACTGGAACAACCAATGTTAGATTAGTTTTGACATGATCTGCCCTTTTATTCACACTTGCAATCGACAAAGGAAGCGGCACGCAAACCTAAGATCTATAATGGCCTGTTTAAACGGCTTTTTCATGGCACAAGTGCCAAAATAATATCTAATCTCATTTTTCAGTAGTTGCAGTTTTTAGTTTGTCGGAAGTGTGCGCCCTTTTGAGTATGCATGTGTGTCTGATCGCCACGACCATCTCCCGTCAGTTTTCTAGGTTGAGTCACCGTTAGTTCTTTCCCGAAGGTCATTTAGGTATAAAAAAGGGACTAGAACATTTTTTCGAGTATTCAGCGGCTCCTAGTAATAAAATATAGTCACAGTCTCCATACTGTTTTCACATTTTTTTGTGTGAAATGTCAAATGCAACAAAAATTTGACATGTGTAAGACGTTTAAAAAGCATTTAAAGTGCAAGTAAAAAAATCTAATTCCTCCGATAGCGTTTACACAGCTTTTAAATTCAAAAGTCATTGAAGCCTATATTAAATCTCACGCATGTGCTTTAAGCCTAAACCGTAATTTATGACTTAACTCGAACTATTCCAACCGTTTTAATGCTGATCTGCGACAAAATGCCCCAGCAATGAGACTTTGATATGATCGATTAGCAGTTTTTCTGTCAAGTGCATTCCGGCTACGTATAAACTCTAGACTAGGTGGAAAATGCAGTCTGTAGACCACACACTGGGTATGAATTGTAGTCTTTTGAAGAAAAATGTCTAATCACACAATGATGTGATAGATTAGGGAATGATAATTAATATCCTGCTGATTAGCCATCAGACATAATTGAGATTATGTAGCCGATGTTTTTGTGTTTCTACTGGGATTGATTCTTTCCGTTTCGAACGTCGTTAGAAAGAACATAGAAAGACCTGATTTACCTGTGGTTTACAGGTAACCTTAGTGTTAAGATCATATGTTACGCTATTATGTACATTTAAATCCGGTATAGATAAATTGTCTATAAACAGCAATAGCTTGAAAGTACAGTTACATTCCGGCCACAATCAAAAGAAATACGTTTTTAAGTAGAAACTGTTTGCAGTGCGATCAAGATAGAAATCAAACGTAGTAGGATACCTTTCAATTTATCTTTGAATTTCTCTACCTCCTCTCCTCGAAACAGAAGATACGCTTCAGACTTCCTGTTTTCCCAGAAGGGATGAATGATTGACATATTGTAGAAATTTAGCATAATACGGTTACAAAATTCACTATATACATTTGCTAAGGTGCTCACAAGGAGAATTTATTTAATAATCGAGAGCTTTATCACTTGGTGATCATTTCTTTTATTCTCGTCACCTTGATGTGTAATTCAAGTGCGACATTGTGAGGAGAAATTTGATGTTAGTACCTCTTAGGGGTTGAAGGGTCAATCCAATGTTTCTAATCTCATCTGCTGCTTTCATGATGTTATCAGCAACATTTGTATCCAAACGAACTCCTTATTAACCTTTGCAGCTGCCTTCTTCAAGAAACCAAATACACGAATCACAAGACAAAAACAACAACACACTGAGAATAACCAGTAACCAAATGATTTTCCATCATTATATTTTTTTGAATAATGCCCAGTTGTAATAGCTCATGGTTAAAAAATATCACTTACGTTTTCTTTTACCTTCTCTCTGAACCATTCCTGTTAACTGATGAAAAGTGTTCCTGGACAGACAATTGCTTAAAGTAATACTTTTACTAACATGGAAGAAGTGAGAATTCATTGTTAGATCTTTCAGTTAGTACATGGGGGATGATTGGTCAATTTAGCAGGTCACATTTCACTGCACAACCTGCTAAATTCAAAAGTTTGTTTGAATTAAAAACCTTCCCCTCTACCTGAACCCAGAGATAATAAACATCTTGCTAACCTGGTTTACTGGTCCGTACTGTAAGTTACAGAACCTAGGTTAACTTAACGTAAGCACTCGGGAGGTTAACTTTGCGGGATTGGGGAAAGATTTGAAACTCAATACCAAGAGAACAGAACGTCAATACCTCACATTTTTGTGCAGTTTAACGATTTTCCTTTTTCGGTAAAGGGCGATTGACCTGACAAACTTTTGTCCTCTCAAGTAAGAACTTCTCTTTGTACTTGTAGGACTGGTATGGCCAGCTGAAAAATAGAACACTCCTTAAAAGCCATGGTACACTCGGTATCAGCCTCTGCTACTGAGATTTTTTCTGTTTTTAACATTAAGACAATTGAAAGTTTATTATTCTTGAATTGTCTTAATTGTTTTCTACACTGGGTTCCACATTCTGTAGTCCACATCCCGGAGTCCATATCGTAGACTTTTGATTCTCATATTTTGAAAAAACTTTACTTCATCATTGTTCCTTGTTACAACAATAATTATGAATCAGTATTTAAGGAATTCCGTCTTTTCACCCCTTGTTTGGTTTAATTTTCTCTTTGTTTCTTTTACGATCGGAGATGTATAAAAATGGCTTTCAAAGCCGTCTGACTTAAGTATCTTTAGTGGAGAAGATGTAAATTTATCTGCAAGCAGAACTGCATGATAGAACAATCGCCTTAACGTCATGGTGTTCATCCAGAGCAGAGAGGTTCTTGAAGAGACCTGATCTCATCAAATCGATCGATCAACGAGGCGGCTACCAGGCCTTCACAGCTGTGAAAATGTTTATTCATGGGTTATGTTCACGATCAAATCAGCTGTAATTGTCGAAAATTTGTAATAATAAGTCTACTTAACCTTACAACATGAACATATTAAATCGCTAAGTTGCTGAAAAGCTGGGAAAACTTCAGCTGGCGAATTTTATCATAAAATCCTTCTAACATTTTCAAGATAGTCGAAAAGAAAGCGTATTCAAATTTAACACAATATAGTACTGGGTTCATCGCGAGTTACACAGCTTTATGGGACGTTGCTCTCCCGCCCATAGTTCGGTCTATTTCTACCATCATAAGATGATTTTGTAGGCGTGTGACCATTGTGATCGGTTAATTACATGTGTGTTAATGGCCGGGTGCGATCACGTGTAATGACCCCTGTCGGTCTAAGTGGTCTCTAGGATCATAAATGAATCATAATCTACAGACTGGAAGGAACTGTTTCTAAGTCTTCAGGAAAAAAAGTGAAAGCCATATCGCGTATTTAGAGCCCTCGACTGTGTACGGGCGAAATTATATCTTGTTCATATTTCGCATAACGCCTTTCCATGCACATGTCTCTAGATCAGCTGGGCCCTCTCCCTCCCCTCCCTAACCGCAGAAACACGTGTCACACTCCGCGCCTTCTCAGAAAGGAAGAGTGTTTGGTTTCCGGAGGAGAGATTATGATAACAAGGTGTAACTCCTGCACATCACGAATGACAATGTAACGCAACCGAGTGTTTCTTCAAACAGAAAATAAAAAGGTTTATGAACATGATTTGCCCCAGGAAACCTTTTTTTGAGATAAAGCAACCCGTAATTATTTTCTACAACATATAAACTGAACGAAACGTCGGTAAAATGAACTGTTTCTCTACCGTGACAGCTGAAATCAAAGAACTTGCATATACGAAATTCGGAAGGCAATATATATCATCGTCCTAAACCAGATGAGCCCACGACATATCAGCGGCATCTTGTATGAGTATCCGCAGTTTACAACGTGACTTCCGCTTTTTCTTGTTGACGCGTATTCAGTGTACTCGAGTGTTAGGAAGTTCGCGTAGTGCGTTTGAGCCAGTTTCTGGCAGATTTGAACAGAAAAACAGGTCCTTTGTTGGACTGTAATGATACTTTGATCGATAGCACTGTTAACAAAATGTTTGGCCGGTTCGTAAGTTGTCGACCTGGTTTCGGTCGATCTTATTGATTGGCAGCATCTCTTGGAAATCCTACACACCATCGATCTAAACCTCAAAGCTGCCTAGTGAGCAGAAGAACAATGACATCAGTATTAATTTTAATTGCATTTGTGTTTAACTTATATGTACAGAAATTTCTGAATAGGTACTTAATCAGAAGTTTATCACATGTTAAGCCTTCAAACTTATATTAAATAAACTGATGTACATATTTCACAATTTTAAAAGGATTGTGTGATGACAGTACACCGACGGTTCACATTTGAATATTTAGCTTGAGCTTCCTTTTAAATGTTAAGTATTTCAATATGAACTTGTAGAATATAACCTATGGATTAAATGTGGGTCTATAAGTATCATCCATGAAACTCTTACAGGCAATTTTCATCATGATATTAAAGCACCACAAAATCAAGAACAAGGAGAAATAAGTTACGCAGAAAACTCAGTTACACAGAAAACTGATGGAGAAATTCATAGTTTTCATAATTTTGATTTCATTCATAATTTTGAATTACAAATCATTCAGACCATAGCCAATATTTGTGTGGTTACTGCTGATGATCAAACTTGACTGTCTAGATAATACAAAGGTGTGGTTGTACCATA